TATATATATAATTTCACTGTATTGTTAATTTTTTTTGCGAAAAAGTTATATTAGCTGGAAACAAATATACAAAGACAAAAAAAGTTCTCTTATATGTTAGTGATGAATGTTATTATATTCTTTAGGATCCAAAAGGGGAGATCAACATGCTGAAGCATGAGATTGAAGTACTCCAGAGAGGCTTAAGGTATATTTAGCAATTCCTCAATCTAACTATTTATTTTTAAATGACATTGCACGGAGTATATCAATAAAAATTTAAAAAGTTGTCATTTATCCAACATGAAATCATATAAAATACAATGAATTAATTGAAATTTGTAGTTTCTCTAAAATGTGTTTAGCATCCATGGTTTACTTTTACACGAAGCCCTTATGAGTGTTTGCAGAGGTTGACTAATATATCATATATCCTTCACCCTTGATCTAAGGTCTCGGATTATGAAAAGAGAACTTTTCGATATAAAAACCTATTAATGAACCAATTCAATGCAAATCTGAATTAGTCAATCCAATAAATTTCGAATGTCATTGTTTAGCATAGCATCTATGGTTACAAACTTGTTTATTATATATCATATACTAGTTTCTGGATACATACATTACACATGTACTTCGTAATTATGAATATAAAATTTAAAAATAATTATATAAATATTAAATAATATGCTTGAGTCAGTAAATAAAAATTGAAATAAAAATGTAAGTCGAAGAAAATGAGGAATGGTGAGCGTTAGAATACTCTAACATTCATATCAACCCAAATAAAATCATGTTACCGTGGACTGCATCAAGTTATAGATGGATTGAACACATAACCATTAAGAATATCCACGTTTATTATAAATATTCGTTATACTCATACACTATAATTATGTGGCTAATCTCATCGTTTTTTTAATTATTTATTGAAATTAAAATGAGTGCTTAAGTGGTATATATATGTTTTAAGGCACATTATGATACATTTATAGTTTCATACATTAATAATGAAGCAGTAATTGGATAAGTAAGCACCGTGGGGATTATTTGTATTCTAGTACAAGGAAATTGGAGCCATAGATTTCATAAATATAATTTTGATGATGTGGCATAATTTTAGGTAGCAATTGAACTATACTATATCAAATAGTACTAAACTGGATCCCAGCCCTTTCATTTTAGTGAAATATGGAACAAACAAAGATAAGTATTAAATTATTTTATGTTTAATTTTCTCAAAAGATTAAATTTTCTAAAATAAACTCAACAACTCAAGTACTAAAGTGAGATCTAAAAAAAGTATTTTAACCCTAAAAAATAGTGTAAAAATAAAAGGAATGGTAAAGAATTACGTTTTTTTCTACAAGTATTAACCATTTTTTTTATATCTTTTAAAATGGATAGAGGTAGTCGGTGACTGAAAACAAAAAGAGAAAATAGATAAAATCGAGTTTAGGCTTCATTAATGCAAAATGTTAGAAAAATATAATTGTCTCTCATCAGCTGTATAAGGGTTTCCAAAAGTGTTTATAATATCTTGAGTCACTCCACCTATTGCCTTGGGGCTCGATTGATACAATAGTGTGATATCCCATCTTCTATATGGAATAACTAATCTCACCATTTTAGTGTAAAAGTTATCCCGGGATTAGCTAATATTCCAAACCAAACATGAGATAAAGTTAATCCCAAACTTTATCTCAGAATTATTATTCTTATCTCATGTACCAAACGACCCCTTAAAATTTTGGGTTAAACGCTCAGATTCTTTCACATGGTATCAGAGCCAAACTTTAGTGGGTACATTAGCACAACCACTTCATCTCTTCATGTTTGCTCTGGGCTTCTCTCCTCAACTCAGTCCATTGAACTGTTGATCCCACTCTTCTCCTAGCTCCAAGCCACTCTATAGCATGTTGAGCATGATCTTTCAAAAGATACGCAATAAATTATTTTATGTTTAATCTTTTCAAAAGATTAAATGTTCTAAAATAAACTCAACAACTAAAGTGAAATCTAAAAGAAGTATTTTAACCCTGTAAAAATAAAAGAAATGGTAAGGAATTACGTGTATACAAGTAATTACCATTGCTTTATGTTTTAATATCTTTTAGAAGGGATAGAGATAGCATGTGACCGGAAAAAAAAAAGAAAATAGATAAAATCGAGTTTAGACTTCATTAATGTAAAATGATAGAGAAATATAATTGTCCCTCATCAGTTGTGTATGGGTTATAATATCTTGAGTCACTTCACCCATTGCCTTAGGGTCATTTGGTAAAATGGTGGAATATCCCATGCGATTAGTTATCTCACCTTCTATATGGGATAACTAATCCCAATTTAGTGTAAAAGTTATCTTGGGATTAGCTAATACCCCAAATCAAACATGGGATAAAGTTAATCCCAAACCTTACCCGAAATTATTATTCTTATCTCATATACCAAACATTCCCATTACATGCTCAGATTTTTTTACATGGTATCAGAGCCAAACTTTAGTGGGCACATTAGCACAATAACTTTTTTTCTTTATATTTGCACTAAGCTTCTCTCCTCAACTCAGTCCATTGAACTATTGAGCACACTCTCCTCTTAGCTCCAAACCACTCTTTAGCATGTTGAGCATGATCTTTTTTCAATCTTAAAAAACATTCAGTTCACTTGTAAATCTTAGAACCAAATTACACGTGCTGGACGATCTTAAAGAAATACAGTTGTCCTCCATCAATTGTGCAAGAGTTTATAATATCTTGGACCACTCTATCTATTGCCTTAAGGTTTTTAGTTTGATGTTCAAAATCTTTTACATAACGTAAGAATTCTACCGGTCCAACTAGTATTGATATATAATTAGGCTGAATTATATAGATAGTATAAGCAATCTTTATACTATCACGTGTGTAATTTAAATCTTTCCTTATGTGCATTAGTACTTTGACTTTATGTTGAAGTGTCAGTTTAGTTATTTTATATGCCATTCAAATTATAATTAGTTCTTTCCCTTTTTTTAAATTTATTAAACTTCTTTCTTAATAATGATATATAAAGTTTAATTATCCAAAAACTTCTCCTTTAGCTATATGTATGGAGGAGGAGCTGGAACAATGACACTGGATGAATTGCATTCACTTGAAAAATACCTTGAACTTTGGATGTTTCATATTCGTTCAGCAAAGGTAATAATTTCATGAAATAAATAGTTTATCAATATTATTTAGTGCATCTTTATTTATATGATATGAGAGTTATTTGTATAATCAATATATCTTGCAGATGGATATCATGTTTCAAGAGATCCAGTTGCTGAAGAATAAGGTTAGGCAATCTCCAGCTTTTATATTAAGGAAAGAAGTTTATTATTAATTTTATATATATATATATATATATATATATATATATATATATATATATATATATATATATATATATTAAATGCCCTTTGAAGTTACTTATATGTTTATGTAATTAGTATTTACATGATTGGATTTTTTTAGTTTCTTTTAATTTACAGTAAAATATCATAAAATGATTTCATTTGGCCAATAAAAAATTAAAGCAAATATATGAAATCTGAACCGGTTTCAGTAAAAGGAATATTTGAAAAATGATGGAAAAAATATACTTGAACTAAATACACATAGCATTGCTCAATTATTTTTATTTTTTTTGTATTTAGTTAACATTTTGAAGAGACTGACCATAATAGTCAAAAATTTCTTCTCACTAGTTCAAGTTGTTAGAACTTTTTGGGCCCAAATAGATTAGAATAATATAATATGGATTCATTAATTAAACGGGTTAAGAATTAACCCGATTAGTCGCCCACTCAACCTCTTAAACAAAAAATAGTCGGAGGAGGAATAATATATATACATAATTTATATTTAATATGTATATAATCGTGTATACCATTATATAATCTACGTATATGGTTAGAAAAGTAAATAATAAATATGACTGGTTACTTGTGTAAAGATCCCCGACCACCGAACTACTTGTGAATCCCTTTTTCCACTGGCAATATTCTGTTATTTGGTTATTTTTGCTGAAATTATTTTTTTTTTGAAACTAGAAATGTTTTTTTTTTGTTTCTAAAAAAAAGAAAGAAATAGTAAATATTTTGGAGAGTTACACTGTTTTGGCCAAGTTTCTGGGGAGAAATAAGTGATTTTGAGTAGTAGAAGAAGCTTTCATTTTCATTGTATGAAAGAAACATAAATTTATAGCTTCTTCAGAATTATTTTTTTAAGACAAATCTTATCGAATATTTTAATTTACAAAATTATCTTTCTTATTTTAACCTGTATATCTCTCAAAGGGGACACAATTAATTATGCAAGAGGTACATCTTTACCACAAATAATTATGTAAAAGATGTTCAATATTATTACTTTGATGCAACTGTATTTATATTTGTTAAAATTCTTAATTTTTTTTCACCTTTTATTAAATAAAACTGAAAAATTATTAAAATAATCATAATAAATATTTAAAATGATTGACTTATTTTAACACTAATTGTACAGTGAATTAATATATAACCTTTTCATAGTTTGACACTCAAAAACGCCTTTTAGTAATATTAACAAAACAAAATCTATTTGTGTAATACTGAGAAAAGTGCGTCTTAAACGGATTGTTGAAATGCAAGCTGCTACTTCCAACTTACTTCTCTAAAAATCTAATTTAACGAAAAACATTCAAAATAAACAGATTTTAGAAGTTTGGCCAACTGGTCTTTAAATAATATATAAATGCAAATGTCATTTATATATATTTTGTAAATTGTGATATTAGCTGCAAGTAGAAGACTTCTACACAGGGCGGATGCAACATATAGTTATCGGGTTCAGCCGAACTCAGTACTTTTGATGCGGGGCATAAATTTATATGTAAAAGTCACTAAAATTACAATAAATAGGATATATGAAAGTGTGAGTGATTTGCTTAATAGCTTGAATTATTATGCTACTTTTGTAATAGTGGAGTTTGTTCTACTTAAAAAACAACAACATACCCAGTAATATCCTACATCGTGGGGCGTGGGGAGGGTAGTGTGTGACCTTATCCCTACTTTGTGAGGATAGAGAGACTGTTTTCAATAGACCCTCGGCTTAGAAAAGCATAAGCACCACATTAATGGAAATATAGCCGTTCTACTTAAAAAATGAGACGAATTATAGGCTTTTATTGACAAATATTGATATCTAACATGTTTTTACCTTTATATTAGGAAGGGATACTGCAAGCTGCAAACAAATATTTACAGGATAAGGTAAGACACAACAAAGATTAATTTTGATTTTTTTTTTTTTTTAAAAAAAAATGAAAGTAGTCAATCTTAAATCTTTTTTTTTCATTGTCTATTTTGCAGATAGAAGAACAATACCCTGTCCCTAACATGACATCGACTTTGACTGACTTTCAATGCCCACTAACTGTACAAAATGAGATATTCCAGTTCTAACATATGCTCTCACTGCATAAGCTAGGCTTATGCTGAAGCATTTAGTAGGGTAATTAAGGACATGTATAATAATGACCTGATTAGTTTCAGTTTGGAGTGATGAACTTGATATGAACATATAATTATGTTTATTATATGTTTAATTTAGGTCATATGATCTAGTGTGAGAGTCTCTTCATAGTGTGAATGAAGTGTAGTGCTACTTATAATTATGTCATCTAAAGCTTCTAAGTTCTTTATAAAATGGATGAGTATTTGCTAATGAGTGATTAATTCCTTGATCTTTGTCTTGTTACTGATTGGCTATATCAATGATATGATCCTTATTTGTGTTTTGAAACTCAGTGCTTGAGAATCTTATTTTGGCGCAATTGCATCATATATATTTAAGTTCCTTCTTACCTAAATTTTGGGAAAATTGGTTTATTTGATTTCACTATACAGCTACTTGCAATCTACTTAAAGGTTTAATATAATTGTCTCTTCTAATTTACGTCTTTCGGTTATGGAAACTCAAAAAAATTCATTGGAACTGTCGATATTGCAAAGAGATCATTTCATGTTAATTATCTCAAGGGGAAAGAAGGAACAAAGAAAAAAATTGATATATATCACAATATCATAGGAGTATATGATTTCAGATAACACTTACAAATATTTTGTACATAAGAGAAATATATTAGTTCAGTCTTAGTATATATATATATATATATATATATGAAGCTATAATAACATACCTTGTGACATGAGCGAAAAACCAATCTCTTGAATACTTGCTAGTGGCGACATTGTAGACGAGATCTCGTTTAGGATATAAAACACTGTATTGTTCCCATAGACCATATTGTTTAAATCTACAAAACCAAAATTGGGTAAATGAGTTACAATCTGAACCATAACGCTAGATTTAGAAGAATAACATACACACACTGTAGACTTAGTGTATATTGAACGGACCAAGTAGAGAAAAGATATTTATGTACTGAATATATATATATATATATATATATATAGTAACGAAAAAGGGCTAGAAAATACCCCTATAGTATTCTAAATGGTTTGTTATCGCGCTCCGCCCACCTATTTGTCTGAAAATTCATCTAACGTTATCTTGAGGTTTGAAAATACCCTCGCGACTAACAGAACCATCTGTGATCCCAACTTGTAATGTGTTGTCACGATTTGATTGGGACACGTGGCTATTTGATCCAGGAAGCATATAACCCGCCCCAAATATCCACACGCCCCATTTTTCCGGACCACCCATAGTAAAAATACTATTTCTACCTACTCATTTCTTTTACGTCCATTTCATTTTATCTTGGCCTCTCCATCAAATTAGAGCTCTTAGTAGTGGCGTTTTAGGTTTAATTAGAATTGCCACCTGCTTCGATTTAGTGGATTAAAACTGAAGAATATCTCAATTCTAGCCCTACTTGACTGAAGAATCGCTGATAAAAGAAAGTATTTATTATTTTGGCTAAGCTTTTAAGGTTTGGGAATATTTTGGGAATCGATAAATATTGTCTCTTTCTTTGTGTTTAATAGGTCATATGATATTATTATTTGCTCCTTTATGCATTTGTTTTTAATTTTTGTTTGGGGTGGGCCCATTCGTCTTTGTCCGACATGAAAAAGTTAAGAGTTTTTTCAATTTTTAATGTGTTGTTAGGTGGGTGTTAGTCGATATAACTGTGGTCCTTTATTTTTCTTTATTGCTTGATATTTTTTTGACTTTATGCCTAAATGATGTGGTCCTTTTTTTTGTAATTTTTGTTGTTGTTGCATGTAGAAGAAGAATGGTTGATAAAGTAGATTTGTATTTGAATCATGGTGGTGATTGGGAACTGGAATCCAACTTATCTTATTGTAAAAAACATGTGCACCTATTGAGAGAGTATGAAGTAGACCATTTGTAATGACCCGACCGGTCGTTTTGCTTTTTAGAACCCCGTTCCCCTAAATAAGACTTTCCGTATATGCTTTTACTGATTTATGACTTGCGGGGATGGTTAGTTCGGGATTTGGAATAGTTCCGGTTGAAAATCGGAATACTTGGTTATGTAATGACTCGACCGGTCGTTTTGAGCATTACACTTCGATCGCTTGTTTGAGGGCATGAGTAGCTCCGTATGATGTATTATCACTTATGTGAATCGTCGGTTTTGGTTTTCAGGTTATTCGGAATTGATTTGGAAGAATGATTGCTAGAAGCTTAAAATTTGAAAGGTTTGACCAAGTTTTGACTTTTTAGTATTTGACCTCGGATTGGACTTCTGATGGTTCCGTTAGCTCCGTTGGGTGATATGGGACTTACGAACGCGTCCGGATTGTGATTTGGAGGTCCGTAGTAGAATTTGGCTTGAAAAGACGAAAGTTGGAATAATGAAAAGTTTGACCGGGAGTGAACTTTTTGATATCAGGGTCAGATTCCGATTTCGGAAGTAGGAGCAGGTCCGTAATGTCAAATGTGACTTGTGTGAAAAAATTTAAGGTCAATCGAACGTGATTTGATAAGTTTCGGCATCAGTTGTGAAAGTTTGAAGTTTCAAAGGTCATTGATTTTGAATTGAGGTGTGATTCGTCGTTTCGTTATTGTTACGTGTGTTTTGAGGTCTCAAGTAGGCCCGTGTTATGTTATGGTACTTGTTGGTATATTTGGACGGGGGTCCTGAGGGGCTCAGGCGTGTTTCAGATTGATTTCAGACCATTTTTCCTTCATTTTCCACTGTTGTATTTTGCTGGTATCTGGTGTCTCAGTCCTTCATCGCGTTCACGAGGCAAGTGTCGCGAATGCGTAGTGTATTTTGATGACAATGTCATTTTCTTCATCGCGTTCGCGAATATTGGTCCGCGTTTGCGAAGAGTTGGGGCTAATCTCATTCGCGTTCGCGTATGAGAGATCGCTTTCGCGTAGAGTTGAGCTAGGAGCTGGAGCTGGAGGATCTTTCTTCATCGCATTCGCGAGGCTCATGCCGTGTTCACGTAGTTTTATCTCCAGTGTGTATCGCGTTCGCGAGGCTTGTGCCACGAACGCGTAGAGAATTTTGGTGGTTGATAATTTTTGTTCATCGCGAACGTGATGGTTATCCCGCGTTCACGGAAAAGGATGTCTGACAGAGTATAAAGTACCCTATTTCGAGGGTTTCGGCCATTTTCATATTTTTGGAGCCATGGAGCTCGGATTGAGGCGATTCTTGAAGAAATTTTCACCATATGAATTGGGGTAAGTGTTCTCTACTCGGTTTTGGTTATATTCCATGAATCTATCTTCGATTTTAGCTTTTGGTTGATGAATTTTAAGGAGGAAATTGCGGGTTTTGGCCTAAAGTTTCATAATATGAAATTTTGAGTTTTGAACATCGAATTGGAGTCGGAATTGAGTGAAACTAGTATGGTTGGACTCGGAATTGAATGGGTTGTCGTATTTTATGAGTTTGTCGGGTTTTGAAGTGAGGGCCCGTATGCGATTTTTGGCCGGATTTGGGATTTGATTTAGGATTCGATCTTTATCATTTGGGATTGTTTCCTTGGGCTTTATTTGATGTATTTGAGTTGCTTTTGGCTAGTTTTGAGCCGTAGGTCGCTACGCGCGTGATGACATTCTTGGAGCATCGCTTAACTTGCTCGGTATTGGAATTGGCTTATTCGAGGTAAGTAACTCTTCTAAACTTAGTGCTGGGGGTATGAAACCCTGAATTACGTGCTATGTGATTGATATTGTGGTGAAGCACATGCTAGGTGATGGGCGTGTGGGCGTGCACCCTGTGAATTATGACTCTGTTATTTCCATGGCACTGTATAGTGGCCCTATTTTGTTGATATCTGTGTTTTTGCCATGTGATAAAGTAACTGAGCTGTCAATCATGATAGATATTATGTTTAGGCTTTATGCTGATATTGCTAGGACCCATAGTGGTCGTTGCTTGTTGTCATCTCACTGATTTCATTAATATTTCGGACTCAGTTATATTCATTCATCATATCTCAGTCTCAGTGGTTATTTATTGATATATCATATCATTGTTCTGGGACTGTTTTCATGACATTGTGAGCCCGTGGGTGAGACTGGAGAGATTGATAACTGAGTGAGGCCGAAAGCCTGATTATGAGTGACAGTTATGGGATTGGGCTGCACGCCGCAACGGTTATTCTGATTTATAACCATGTATCTCAGAGATGAATCGTGTACTCACACTCTCAGAGTACTCAATCTCACTGTCTCACACTTTTCACTCATCATGCTCAACCACTCGGTATTGTATATGGCCCATACGACCAAGGAAAATCCATCCCGGAACATATATTTGATTATGGCTTATCTATTACCGCTTAATTAATTATTATATTTTATTAACTGTGTTCATCAAGATGCAGAACGCACACAAGGTACTTATTTGAAATTAAATGTTAAACCTAGGTACGGAATGTACACATGGTTATAACACAATTATTTTAAATTTAAAGGCATCGAGACGCGGGAATGCGTACATGACCCTTTTATTATTTAAGCATATTAATCCAAGGTTCGGGTATGAACACATGGGCTAATATTGAAAGAGCGTCTAAACTTTTTTTTTTAATGTCTTTATAGTTATTTTCCTAAACTAATTTGAGATTTATTGAGATTTATTTTCCTAAACAATTACTGTGGTAGATGTCACAAAATCAGGCAAAATGAACTACTCATCTATATCTATATCTATCTTCCTATAAAATTATAAAATACGAAACTCGAAAGCTAAATGCAGATAGACTTTTTTAACCCTTCGAAAATATATTCCATGTTGGACAGTTATAATTGCAATTAATATGTCTGCCCTTAATTCATCATTCGGCTAATAGATACGCTTCAAACTTCAAAATCTATCTTATAATTTGTTAACTTCTTTGGTTCAGTTACCAAATTCTTCAAGAAATGTACCACTACTAAGCCATACAAGGAAGAAAACTAAAATTTAAACCAAGCTTAGAAGCTTGAACGATTTGTCTCATCAAAGAAATAACTAAAAGAGAATAAGTTTTAATCCCAAAATAAAGAATAAGGATCTAACAGATTTGTAAGGATTTGCACCAGAACGTTGATAACCAAAACCAAAAGCAATAATCTCACACATTAAATAGAATTTAACCAAAGAAGCATTTTGTTTGACAAAAACCGTTAAACAATTTTATGAACTATCTATGATCTAAAATTTCACGTGAATTATGGCAAAAGAATAGATTAAAAGTTAGGAACAGATTTCAGATTAGTACGATTCTTTA